CCCGGGGGCGAGGAGGGCGAGTACATGCTGGCCCTGAAGCAGGAGCTGCGCAGGGCCATGAGGGGGCTCCCCTACTTCGTCAAACCGGGGGCACCCCGCAGAGGTACCGGGGAGGAGGGGGCGGTGTGGATCCCGATCCTCCTGTGTGCCCCTATGCAGAGGAGGTGCGGGAATGGCTTTGAAAGGGAGCCTATCCTAATCCCCATTGTCCACCCTGCTGCTCCAGCGCTGTCACCCCCCTCAGCCTCCTCACCCCCACCCCACCAGGCTGGGACCCCCTATCCCTCCCATTTTGTTTCTTCTTCCCCCATTTTATTCCCCCCAGCTACACCACCTCGTGTCATCAACCATCCCCATGTGGGCCCCACTGGTGTCCCCGGGGTGGGTGTCCCCTAAGTCCCCCCAGAGGGTTTCCCTACATTCCCCCCCGCTGCCCCTGCAGACATCGAGCGCTACTCAGACAAGTACCAGCTCTCCAACCCTGTGGACAGTGCCATCGACTGGAACCCAGGTGGGGGGACACAGGAGGGGACCTGGGTGGAACATGGGGACGTGGGGTTGACTGGGAGGCTGACCAACCTCCTACTTTGCCCCCCAGACTGGAGGCGGCTCCCACGGGAGCTGAAGATCCGGGTGCGGCGGCTGCGGAAAGGCAGTGAGTAACCCCTTCTTGCCCACACCCTGTGTGTCCTCTCTTTTCCCCTGGGGGCTGACAGTCCCCTTTGCCCCCCCAGGGACCGCTCCCCTCGTCCCCAAACAACACGTGGTACTCGACAAGGAGGAGACTATTAAGAAGCTGGAGGTAGCGAGGTGAAGGTGGGGGTGTCCCTACTGGCTGCATTTTAGAATGTCTCCCCCCGGTAATGCTCCCCTGATCCACACAGAGCCTGGAGAAGAAGGAGGAGGAGGTGACATCAGAGGAGGAAGAGGAGAAGGAGGAGGAAGAAGAGGGAAAGGAGGAGGAGGAGGAGGAGTACGATGAGGAGGAGCACGAAGAGGTGGAAAGGGGAGCACCCTGGGGCGGTTGGTGGGTTGGAGACATCCCCAGGTGCCACTGTGTTCCCCCGTGTCCCCCCACAGGAGACTGACTATGTCCTGTCCTACTTTGATAATGGAGAGAGCTTCGGCCCCGATAGCGATGATAACGGCGACGAGGCAGTGTACTGACCCCGAGAGCGGGTACCCGCGAGAGCCTGCACCCCAAAGGCTGTGGGGAACCCCGAGAGTGGGGACCCTCCTCCAGCAGCGGGGACACCTTGAAAGCGGGGACTCCCCCCCACTTCTGCCACAACAGGGACCCTTTGCCCCTCCCACAGGACAGTGGGGACCCCCTCATCTCCCCAGGACAGTGGGGACCCCCTCTCGCCCCTCTTTGGGGCAGCGGGATCTCTCGTCATCCCCCGCGCGCCGCCACCAGGTGGGGCCGGTGGGCCGGGCCCTCGTGAGGGACGTGGCCATGCAGGGGGCGGGGCCGTGCCGGGGGC